ATGAACTTCTTATCATCAATATGAATTGTAATGTAACTAAAATTCTATTTAGTATTACCAAACTGCTCAAGCTATGTATTATCCATTCTGATATGCTAGTGATAATTGTTGATAGAAGCACCTATTAGCCCTTTAGTGTGGTATCTATTACCTTCTATATCATAGGAGTAGACATTACTTTGTACATCAAAGTAAATTCAAGCAACAAAATCCTTTTTGATTAGATTAAATGATATATACTGGATACTTATTAGATGTTGCTCTATGATAGATGATCCTATATTCAAGCAATGTGACACCATCAATAGTATCACTAACCACTATGATCCTAGCAATTGAGATCATTCTTCTTTCACCATCACCTTTTGCTACGTCAATTGATTTAGTCTATTACAACTAATCCATCTTTATCTATTTTCACCCAATTAATGATTATCTATATATATGGTCATGACCTATTTACGGCCAAAAGTTAAATCCATTGATTGTCGCTCTTAAGTATGCCATCTTTTTATATAAATCTCAAGATTTTATAATACCACCTTTGTTGTAGCAGCTTTGCCATACTAATATATTCTTTACTTGCCTTGTAATATATTTTGTAGAGATTCAAGCTTCGTGGCAGCTATTCAAACAATACTATACAATTGAGGCTCATGGCTTATATGATTATTGCCATTGTGGAGAAATCACAATGCTTATTATAAATCCATTTATTGTTTTAATTTACATATAAACTATTCAAGTACTAGCTCAATTTGTAGTAATATGTATTAACACCATCCATTGCCTATCTCTTGCTAGTGATATAGACATTGTGTTAAGAATATGAATTAAAACAAGGAAAATCTTAAAACACTCTTATGTAACTCAAGACAAATAAATATTCACTTCAAAAGTAATATAGTATTAAGACTAAAATAGCTATTATCAAAGACAAGAAGAATATAGATTCCTCAAAATAGACTAAGAATAAAAAAAATATTAGCAAGTGTAAAAAAGGCTTCACTCTTGCCTCTATATACACTATCTAATTAAGAACTACATAGCAATGTTCTATAGGACCTCCAACATATATTAACTCTAGAAGACACTTGTCTTAACTTACACGGCAAGTTTTTTATATGTGTGCCATATAGTTAGCTTGTTACACAAGCTATCAATACGTATGACATGTGGTTAACTTATTGATCAAGTTTATAACCAATCAATCAATTATAAATTAGTGTAAAGTCAAAACCACGTCTATAGAACTTTTAAGAAGCTTCTCTAGAAGATATTATGAAATTAATTTATTTTTATCTATTTCTATTCAATCATATAGATAATTATTGAAGTAAATATGTATGTCTATGATACATTGGTATCACTGACACACCATGTTCTAAAGTCACTTTTTTATTTACTATAACCTAACATGATCTCATTTATATTTTGCCCACCATCATGAAGGAAGTTCAACTTGACTCCAATTTCACCGACAAGCAACATCATAGGATCACTTGGGTATTCCATGACAACTTGGACATCATTAATATAGGGCCTACTAACCTAGGATACACTAACTTGCTCAAACACTACATTATCACGAGTGCTCCTTCCATTTGACAAACTGGCGATCTGGATTCGGTAACTTCGCTGCTTTTCCAGCACAGAGGAGCCCGACGGCTTTATGTGCCTCTCCATGCACGCTTAAGGGACCACCCTTCCAAAAAGGGACCACCGCGGAGTGAATCCTCACCTCTTCATTCACGTGTACACATCACATCACGTGACCAACAGTTATAGTTTTGATTGGTGATCCGAGGACTCTCGAAGCGTACATACGTACAATTGTTTCAATAAGACTTCAACCGCATGATTTTAGGCTCACATGTTGCGAAATTTTGAGATTCTGATTACATTGTAACGACCTTTACTCCTGTGACAGTCCGTTGGGGCATCCAGGCGAGGAGAACACGGAGGCAAGCTCTTCCTACCTCGCCCTCGAACAAGCGGATTGCTCGACGTTCAGTGTAAGGAAACGTGATGGAAACAACACTGTAAGAGGCATTCACAGAGACTTGCCGGATTGGCTCAATCGCCACCGGCTTGGATCGGACTCTGGCTAAGAGGGTGAGGTACTACCTCCCTCAATACCTCGCGAGAGATGGTACATTCCTCTACAAAAAGAAAACTCCAGAAGGTATCTGTATCCTACGGGTGCCTAAAGCCTTTGATCTTCCACAAATTCTGGAACTATTTCATGCGGCTCGCACTTCGAGGCACTTCGCGGTGTGTCGAACACTCAAGCAATTTCAAGAAGTGTACTACTGGATCGGAATGGTAGGAGACGTGACTTCCTTCATCAAGCAATGTCCGACCTGCCAAGTGAAACGGATATAGGTATCAAGTTATGAATTCTGACTTCCATTCCCATTTCAAAACCATTTGAGCGCGTCGGTATGGACCTCATGGGACCATTAACCACAACAACGGAAGGATATAGATTTGTCGTCGTTGCTACCTGACGAAGTGGGTCAAGGTGCAGGCACTGGAATCTGAGGACTGCGAGCGAGTGGCACAGTTCTTCTTCGACTCCATCGTGATGCGGCATAGTAGCCCTGTGGAAATATTAACTGACGACGGGGGAGAGTTCTGCAATGCACTAATGGAGGTTCTTGCTATTCATCTTTGAACGAAGCACACCACCACGTCGCTATATCACCCATTGTACACTGGGTTAACTGAAAGATCCAATTGCACGTCGTGCTCCCTCATCGAGGAAAACAGCAATAACGATGAGCACTGGCATACAATGCTGTCCGCAATAGTCTTCGCCTATCGCACAAGCGTGCACTCAAGTACTGGCTTCTCACCTTTCGAAATGCTATACGGTCGCAAGCCTCGGTTACCAATCGTACCATTAGGTCCCGCATCAACAATAGTGGAACCAAGTGATCTCAGTGCATGGCTAGATGGGTTGCTGCAGCACCGCGAATATTTACGAACTCATGCCCATACCAACATTAGTAAAGCTCAACGATGGCAAAAAGAAGGGCATGACAAGGTCACATACACGCGGGAATTCGTTATCGACGATACTGCATCGTATCGAAAAGAAAAACGATGCGAGAAGAGAGGTAAAATTTGAGCAAAGTTCACAGGATGCTATCGGATCACAGTTACTGATGAAGAGAAACGGCAATCCCATCTTCAACCCATTCGACCTGAAACCACACAAGTACTATTTCCAATCCCCGGCTTTGATTTGGTTCATTGTAACTTACACTTCAACCTCACCAACATCAACTTGGTTGGTCAAAAAGTGCAATACACACAGAATACACCCGAGGTTTGATCATCGACAAAGGCTAGTTTTCCGAAAAGGGAGGTCCATCTACATATGTAGAGACAGGGCCAGGCACAAATCCTGTGCCATTCAATGAGAGCATGACAGCCGTAATTACAGGTCTCAACGGGAACATCCCGAAGGACCACGTTAATATAAAACCGCCTGTTCATACGAACCTCGGCAGGTATTGAGGTGTACTTCAGTCATGTTGGGCTACATATCTCTCGAATGTGATTGATTTTTTCATCCATCATATTGCTCTGTTCCGTCCCTGAGTCCTACTCCTTCTCGTTGCTCCCCTCTGGTGAGATCCCGACCCTACGCGTAACATTGGTCTCTCCTGGCTGGCTGGGTCCAGAATCGTCCCTCTACACAACTACCCCTGTTGTCCTCAAGATTCCCCAATCAAACTGGTACGGTTAAGAAGCCATTAGCTACAACTGCTGTTGAAAAGGCAAGGTACTGATTATCATAACTAGAAATTTGAAATTTATACGAGGATCCACGTGTTCAACCAGGTTTAAGCAAGCACATTCTCACAGACTTCACTGCATTCTCTCTAAGAGGAACTTCGAATGTTTATAAATTGCTGCTAGTGGAGAAAGACACTCATGTGCACCAGGTGGAAAACAAAGCTTGTTTCAATGAATAGAGATATCAACGTTAATGTGGCTTGACAAGAAAACCTCCAAAAATTACATTCTTAGCCTCAAGGCTTACAAAAGGTACTGTTGCTCATGGATAAGATTTTAGTCAAGTTCTGAAATTCAACAAATCATATCCACTGCGAATTGCGCAACACAGCGACAAGACAGTAAATTGCAACATGCTATGGCGGCATATCATGTGTACACCTGCTGCGGTTTATCATAATGAATGCTGAGCTGCAAGCTGCTTGCTGGTGTCAGCTCAGATCCAATGACGAGACCCAGGCACACGATTTCAAGTGACAGAAACAAACAAACCAAGAGAAAGAGAGGAATTTAAAATAAAATAAAAGAAAATAAAATATAATAAATGCAAGTACGAGATTAGGAAGCTCTGGTTACCAAATTGCACCTCAAGTCCCATTGGGTGGGGAAGAGATGGAGAGAGAGAATTTCGAATCTTGCCATATTGCAGTAGTATCAAGTCACATGAGAAAGAAGCCAAGCCAACACAAAAACGTTCCCTGCGTTGTGCTTCAACTGCCAGAATTCTTAGCTGCTACTCAGATTGACATACCAAGGTAAGGATGTTCGAACCAGAATAAGGTTTCAAAATTCATGAGGTGGGGTATAACATTACCTACATAAGTCCAAGACTTCTCAATTGTGCATTAAGGCAAGAAAGTGGAGATCCTGTAAAACAAGCTACTCAGGTAACTGAAAGCTTGATGGGCACTACTGAGAATGCAAGTTAATCTTCTCGCATTCAAAGAAGTATTCTCTTCATGCATCGCAAAAGCAAACCCAGGAATGCACGAAGTAGGGAACAACTGATAAATCCACAATAGGCATATATCACCAGGTGCAGGTACTTAGCGATATAGCAGGGAATAATCACGCAATCCGAGCAGAAAATTAGATTGGAGCCGATAAAGCCACTGTCTATCCTGCAATAAAGGAAATATCCAACCAGCTTCCAGAAAACATAAGTAGACGTTAGTGGCGTCTTCCGTGTCGTATTTGCTTAATGAGGACATCCAATGCCGGAATGTATCCGATACCAGCTTTGAAACTCTTTATTTGATGCTTTCTAACTGAAGAACTAGAGTACAAAGGATATTTTTCCTGACCCATAGATATATTCAAATCTGCCCCGCCCTAGGTATGTATCAGTGAGCTTCGTCAATATGGAAAACGGATCTGATCCAACCTATTTGAAGGAGTAAATCTCTAAGTAACTCTACTACGAGTAACAAACTCAGTTGACAAGTACTTTACTCGCAACACACTCAAGCTATCCACTTCACACCGTGTAGTGTAGATGTAGAAACTTGTGAAAGTGCACATGCATGAAGGGAATATAAGTTGAAGCGAAGTAATTTGTTGTCTGAGTACTACCTTGTCATTGTCCTTATGAAAGAAGCATACCCTAGACAAGGAAATAGATTACCATCTCCCTCGAACTTGTATTTTTGTAGGACAAGTCACAATGTCCAAAAGCGTAACTAAGTTTCCATGTTCAGCAGTTCGACGTGAGTTAGACGAAGACAAAGCTAGAAAATTCCTATCAGATCTCCCGTCAACAATCGATTCCAGCTTTCAACATCCACATATCGCTACCAAATAGAACGAAACAGAACGAATTACCAACAGTTAACTTAAGCTACAAAATTGTAGATCGCGTCAGGTAGCCCAGTATCGTAAACGAGAGAGCTTCACCCATTCCACATGGGTAAGCATACACTTCCAAAAACGTCTATTAAAGCATGTTGTGGATAAAAATCTGGTTCGATGTCTCCCCTGTTTATCACAGCTTTAGGAGGAGAAGTCTTGATCAGCTGTGCACTACATCAGACCCTATAGCACAAGTAGGATGAAGGTCGAATCCGCATTCTTCGCAGTGATATACAAGTTCTTTTAGATCCACAGCTCCGTCGCATGCATCACACATCACATGGCTGTTCGGCCCAGCCGTCGACTCGTTTATGAGAACAAGCTCATGCTCTTCATGGATGGGATGCAAGATTGTCCTTGCATATTTTGCACAACGAGCGTGTAGGTCAAAATCGCAGCCCGAGGTGCTGCATCTGTATGTCCACTGCGAACCCCCTAAAATTTCAAGACATCCGTCACACATGGCATTACGGCCGCGACTGTATGGAGGTTGTAAGACTAACCGGTGCGGATGCGTGAAGGACATAATCTCTCTCGTAATTCTAGCACATTCTGGGTGAAGATCGAAATCTGTACATAGAGTGCAATGGTAAACTTCCGCTTCACCCGTTCGCAGACACAAATTACACATGTAAACTCCATTTTCATACGGCGCAGATTCCAGAATTTCAAGAGTGTGGGATCGATCGCAGCAGCCAAGAAGAGGTTGTCCCCAGCTTGGTGGTATTTCCAGCGCGGAGATAGAAGAAGCTAACGATGATGAAGGATTCCATTCCGATTCCATCACTGGAGAGGCAGTCCTCACGGCACACCTAGGGCACAGATCAAACAGACACGTCTCACAGTGATATACTTGACCAGTTCCTCTCTGGGAACATACGTTGCAGTCGAAGGCTCCGGTTCGATATGGAGGCACAGTCAAAAACCTAAGCACATGCCCACGGTCACAGCATGGCCCAATCAGTCCCGTATGATCGGCAACCTCTTCACCTTCATCCTCATCATCCGTATCGTCGCCACCCTCTCCTTGTTCGCATTGTTTTGTCAGCAAAACCGCGGAGTCCCCTTTGAAAAGCTCTTCTAGTCGAGAATCACCCGCAATCAGATCCTCGAGATTCGGGACACTGTCACTCCTGGGAAAATGCTCTTCGGAAACGGATGCGGTTCCCTCTGAAGAAATCACGAAATTCCCTCTGGATGTGGAAGCCATATCGCCCGGTTTCAAGAATCTCAATAGCAAACCACTCGAGCTACTGGTACCAGCCTCCATCACCACATACACTACCGAGGCTTCAAAACCACTTCACAGCTTCCTCTAGTAATTGTTCGTGCAGTTACCTCCACCCTTCTACCAGACAATCCATGTAAAGCACCCATAACCCAACTCTGCAACACTCCACATCAATCAACCCACCCACTAAACGATGCAATGCCCATCAATCACATCTCAGACTCCATCATCTCGTCATTTTCTTCCGCCCCTGTCCCGAACTGCTCACGAATGGCACACATTAACTCTCATCCGATCTCGAGAAAAAACCTCGGCAGGCAGGTCTTCGATTTCAAACCCCACCCACACGCCTCGAATGCATAAGTCAAAACTCTGTCAAAGAAAAACAACATCGGACTCAATCAAGATTGTAGGGTTTGGTAAGCTTCGAGGTGTGTGAAAAACATCCACTCTCCCCCTTCCAAACCGGAGCTCGGAACGCGCTTTGATCCGCACAAATTGACACTCAAGCGCATAAAACTTGACACACTACTTGGGGTTTGATGGAAACAAGCCATCGGTTACTCTGGGTGCTAGCAAATCTATGGATACTCAACACTCTATCTTGAAGCAAACCTTCCAAGTCGCTGTCCTCGAAACAACCCTCATCTGCACATCGGTGGGCGGGACGAAGTCGGTTCATCTGAGGAAAAGGCTCAGGGCACCCGGTTCACCTCCTAACTCCATAGTTGACCGGCTACCCCTCGCTGTCTTTCTGGGATGACCGGAGAAAGGACCTTCAAAAACCCCATCGCGTGCGACATTACCGTAAGCCATTCACACCCACTTGGGAATAGAGCATCTCTGCCACTTTAACACTAATTTCACCAAATTCAACCCACCATGCAGCTCATGAGGCGCCTGAAATAGGCGCTAGATCTCCCTCACGTTTGAATTTCGAACAGTCTGGTAAACTCGGGGCATCATCTTCTGCGATGAACCCAGTGGGCAATGCCCAATATGTTCCGAATTTCTCAATGCGTTTTTCTTTTTCATGACGACTTTCGTCGTCGACTTCACGTTCCTTTTGCGATGTGCCATGACAAGAGAACTGGGCTAAAGCACGAGTTGAATATTTTGAGGACCAGTTACGTCCACGTTATGGTATTCTGTTGACCTGGTTCACATCCTTCGAAGATGGCGTCGCGATGATTACCACTCTCTGGTAACGTGAAGAGTCCACCAGGTAAGTTTAAAAGCCTCCCGAATAGCTCATTTCACGTCCATAGCCCCTGCGCCTCATTGGTATAGCGATGGTTGATAATGCAACGGGATATGGTACATGTGGCGTCAAGTCCATCACAAGATGCACGTGATGAAGTTGTCACCACATTCTGTCTTGTAGATGTCTGAACAAAAAAGCAGAGCATCTACAATTGCTTGATGCGGAGTTGGATGCAGACATGGTAAGAGAGCCTTTCCCGACCTTTTTTCTAGACATCCTACAGCGTCTCAGCTTGTCGTGGGAAGAAATGGGCATATGCTGTAAACCACTGTTCCGTTATCGGGGGTTTCGGCATAGATCATCTCACGCAATTGCTATAATTATATTACAGTAATACCCGCCACGCTGCTGAGGATTCATTCAGCTTATTCCCAAGTGGGTGTGAATGGCTTACGGTAGTGCTGGTACCGGAAAGCTGAATGAATCCTCAGATATTACAGTAATGCCCGCCTCGCAGGTTAGGAGAATGCTTCCCGCACATGATGTAGATGCGAAGTTCTTAATAAATTGCAAACCTTCAGAGACGAATATACAAGAGCTGGATTTTCAGCATGGTGGGATAGAAACAGAGAACGGCAAGATTGATGGTTTGATTTGGTGTAACGCACACCGATTGAATGGGCGGGAAGAATGACTTGGATCAATCACACGACGGGGAAGGACAGCACTTAACTTCTGCATTCCCCAAATAATTGCATGGAAGAATTATATATTGTGGCTGTTTTATTATTTCGTATCGAAGAATTACAGAATCTCCATGGGGCGTCGAGCATCTGGGGTGTTGTACTGGAACGAATAAGAGCACCTTGTTGTCCAAGTTGCTTGGTTGTGCACATGTCTCCGCAGCCCTTGTCCACAATTATCGCTGGCCACCAGTAATTATAATAACACTGCTATGAAAAGAAAAAGAAATTTTCAACGATGGCTTAGCTGTAAGGAATCAACCAGCTGCATCCCGCTTGTACGTTCGATCTGACCGGATCTTGTCGAGCTTTGAATTTCATCAGGGAGAATTATTAATGGTCTGTTTTTGCGTCAATCGCATCATGTTTCTGCTCGGGAGTCGGAACGCTACATCCTCTATTATAACTGCTTCATTGGTAGCGTATTTCAGATTGACATTTCGCTGACTCTTGCTTGCTTTCTTGTTAAATAGCTCGAATCTTGAGGCTCTTCTAAGTGTCCAAATGCGCAATTTGTCATTATCGTTCTGTAAGCTGATCGTGGAGGCCCACACATTGTACATGGCTTGAGGTTGAACTAAAAGTAGCCCACTACGAAGTCACGTTTTCGGAAACGTCTTCTAGGTTCGATTGGGACATTTCTGATTGGGGTTGCAATGCGCAGGAAACTACGCAATCTTCTTACAGGTTGTTGGATCGCGAATTGTTTGCTTAATTCGTGATTCCTAACCCAGGAAGAGGTAGGAGAGGTATCGAAGTGTCAGAAAGTCGGAAGGAGAAGCGAGCGGTGTACATTTTCTGGATGTAATTTTAAACAGCGTCTTGAGGTACCGTTCACAATATTATCGTCTTCATTTTCTTGGAATTCTTTGAGATATCATTCTTGCCTACTCGTAGTGTACCCATTTGACCTACCGGGATCAAATTTGAGGTAGATTTATTGGTTTCTTTCATTCATATTTCACAATTGTTTCATACAAACAACAGAATTATAGGTAGCCTTGACTGACCATGATGAGCTTAAAACAATTGCGAAACCTTTCTCGTGAATCGCTTCGTCTCTTCGCTCAATTTCGTTGCATCACTGTGGTTCGATTCAGGTATGTCCTATCTGGTCCACATGTAATGCTTACGGCTTTGTTAGAAAACATGAATCTCACAGTGCGAGAAAGGGCGGCTCGGTTTTGAATCAAATTCGAGCCCCCGACGTACCACCAAGTATGGCAAACACCTCTGATTCGGGACGTGCGCTGTGCCCCTTACCTCTACCACAACCCCGTGCAGCCCTACGAACAACTGGGTCTTTCAAAGTGTCCCCAACTAAGAGTCGTTTCTCAACCGATGCTGATCGATCTGAGGATTCATTCAGCTTTCCGGTACCAGCACCTGACTCGCAACATACTCAAGCGTCAGACATTGCAAAACAACACCGTGTGTGGGGCGCATATCCTGCAATTACGGACAATTCACTATTACCCAATCCGCAAAGCACCATAAGTAGAAGTGCAACGTCGGAGGGACCTCCATTCTCACCTCCACCTGTGCCTCCTCCATTCCCTTCTTCGACCTCAAGGAAGCCATGGCAGGCATTGTCTGCCACCAGGTGTCGGGGCTCGCGCAGCTGTGGTGGGAGTTTTATTTCCAACCATGCCCTGAACACTTGGGACCAAGTTTTTTTTGAAGCAACCAATGCAGACCTCACTGTGTGCACCGATGATGGCAGTCAAATACATGTGCATTCAATGGTTCTGGTAAGTATTTCTAGATGAATACCACGTGCGATACAACTTGCTGTTGGATTTCAGTAGGATATGTCCTATTGTATGCTTACTGTTCTGTTGGATTATCTGGTGTGGTGTGATGCATCTCTTCTTCATGTGATACCTATTTTCTTTTCTTTCTTCCACCCTATTAGTTGATACTCGTCAGGGCAAGGTTCTTACAAACGTTTGTTGTAATTTCCAGTCAATTATCTTTCGTAATTTTGGAACAGCTATTACAGGTTAACTCCATGCTTTCAGTCAACTTGCAAACTTAAGTGTTTGAGATGTGTGAACTTGGGGTGCACTGATGTGTTTTGCAGATGGCCAGTTCTCCCGTATTCAAGTTTTACCTGCAGAAGGAAGTTAGAAAATCAAGGTTTCCTGCCATAGATATATTTGGCGTTCCCTTTCACGCAGTTCGATGTTTTCTCCGATATTTATACTCATCCCGGTTTGTCTTCGTTCTCTTTAAATGTACCAAATTAATCTTGTTCTTTCGTCACAATATGGTTCCAATCAATTTGGTGTTCTTCTAGAATGACAGGATTGATAAATGAACATTTTAAGTTAACAACAGAAGAAGGTACTTCTAAGTATTAAAGAAATATTTTCTTCAATAGACGTTAATATCTGCGCTGAGAACAAAAATTTGCAAGCACGGATTCCCTAACATGAAATACTTGGAAAATTCACATGATGCTGTTGTTAGACTACGGAAACATTTGTAGAGATCCTCGAGTTTTCCGTGACAGTGCCTTTTCTATTATAACCAGATGTGAGCGATCGGACATGGAAGAATGTGCTCTACACTTGGTAGTGCTGGCTCACACGTATATGGTCCCGGCTCTCAAGCAAACTTGCACAGTCCATTTTGAGCAAGGGCTGCTGAACACTGATAATGTTGTGGATGTCCTTCAAGTAGCAAGGTGCTGTCTAAGACTTCACAAATCCCTCAAATTATGCAGCTGTTCCATATCAATTTTTTTTTTTTTTTTTTTTTTTTTTTTTTGTGTGAAGTGATTCTTCATGTCAATTTTGACTCGAAGCCGATGTTGACATTCAGACCATCTGCACTATCAGGCTCTGTGATGCACCTCGACTATATCTGCTGTGCTTAAAAAGAACCACATCAGACTTCAAGGCAGTGGTACGCACAGATGGCTGGAGGGCTATGAAGCATTCTGACCCAGCCCTCGAACAAGAGTTAATAGAGGCTGTCATTCGAGCAAGCATGGTACGAGCAAAGCTACTTAGTCAAGCCATGTCCGAGCCTAGGCTAGACAACTCATCTTCATTGGTTTTGCGGATTTTTATTTTTTAAAATTTTAACGCATTTATCGTCGTCAAGCTAAAAAACAGAAATGAATATTATCCTGACTCCTAGGTTTCCATGCCGCTTGATAATTCTTGTAACATAGCCCTATTTTTGTGGTTTTTGCAGAGAAAGCAAGAAAAAACCACTAGACTTGAAGAGGACCAAGTGTATGGACAATTGCATGATGCAATGGAAGCATTGACTCACATTTGCAGAGACGGATGCAGGTCGATTGGACGTTCAGACAAGAGTTTGAACAGAGGGTCAACAAACTGCTCCTTCCCAGCCTGTAAAAGACTGCAGTCTTTAGTCCGTCATTTTGCTGACTGCAAATTGAAAGTGGCTGGTGGATGTGTGCATTGTAAGCGCATGTGGCAGCTTCTCGAGCTTCATTCTCGTATGTGCACGACAAGTGATTCTTGCAAAGTGCCCCTCTGCGGGTGAGTTTTCAGATACCTTCGTTGTATGAAGTATGCGTATACTACTGCTTTTGAACGAGGCACAGTAGGAAACATCATTTTGAGTACAGATTTCGCGAGGAAATAATTACTGGATTAGTTTTGACTCGTTTTAAGCATTATTTCTCTTGCATGTGTAATCCTCGCAACGCAATTTTCTCTCCGCAAAGACAACTTAGGTTCTTGAGCTGCACCCAGTTTTATCTCGTAAATTTCAATGGGTTTAGGTGAAACTTGCAAAGGTATCTTTTTCTGTCAAGCGAACAATCTATAGCTGATAACTGTAGGAATGTGCAAGGTTTTTGCGGATGAAATTCCTAGAAACTACTGCAATGACAACGATTGGGAATTATTTGCAGGCATTTCAAGGACGTCGCAAAGCAGCAGGCGAGCCAGAAGGTAGAGCTACGATGGAAGATGTTGGTTCAAAGAGTTAAGTTGGCAAAGCGCGTCGTGGATACACTATCGGTGGCAGCTATTGCACAGCAACTTGAACGACCTCCTATTTGAAGCTTGCAATTTCCGACTGTTTAATTTACCCGAAGCTACGGCATATACATATGTGAACAACGGCTCAGAGTATGGTCCTTGGGTTGTGAGTACTAGGTGCTAGTTTCAGGATTTTAAAATGCTGAAGGTAATTAGACAGAGGACATCAAACATGATCAGAATGTTGTAATTCCGATACTGTAGAAAATTAGCGGTAGCTTGACACCATCAGGATCCAAGCTTTCTAAACGACATGAAAGCTTTCACCTGAGAATGACAAAATCTAGTGGAAACAGTTGTATCTCTACTCGTTCTGCTTTGTGCCCACTGGGTTGTTTCATACTGGGAAGTGACACATTTTATACGAATGTTTCTTCACCATCCTATGATGGAAGATTCATATAGGTTCATATCAATGTTGAATAAATCCAATTCTTCTGGAAGAGTTTAATATATCTGCTTCGAAATGGAGAAAAACATCAATTTACATGTTAGAACATTTTACCATTCAATTTTGACAGCGGTCGGGGAGAGAGAAATTCTGTAAGCTTATTTGAACTTCATTGTCTTCAAAGTACATAAGATCTTTTCAAATAGTATATTATTCATGGGGATGATGTTGCTAAAAATGTCCATCGGTAATGCTGCTCTTATACCTAATAACCATTACAATAGATTCATAATAAACGAGGTTTATCATCAAAACTTATATTTTCTACTTAAAAAAAAATACAAACAAAAACAAAAAAAAAATGTTGGAATAAATACTACACTTCATCTGACACTGCCCCCTACGTTCCCTTCTGGGGACGTGGAGGGTGTTACCCCTTGAGTGACCATGCTCAAGGGTATAATACGTTGTTTTTTTGCCTTCAATGAATGTTGCTTCCCTACACAGTAATTCCGTGACTCTTCGATTTATCATGGTATCAGAGCCCATACGATACAGGACCGTCTCGAGTTTCTTCCTAACTGCAGTGACTTCTGTGTGAGGAGATAATGTGAGATCTAGTGACCTCATGTGTAGTGTCACATCATTTGTTTTCTTTTTCAGTTCTTGAGTAGGTCGTCCTAGACCAAAATCACTTCTCCAAATGGCTAGACCACCAGCTGCCGAGAAGGTATCGACTGCCGCCTGCCTACAAGCTGGCAACCTTGTTAGAGTCATTGGGTCCTCTGACCCAAGCATTTCCAAATTATATCACCTAGAAGGAGCAGCAAATTACGGAGTCTGGTCTTATTGCATCTGTCACACCTTACAATTTGAAGATTTGTTTTTCTATTGTGTAAATCTTCCTTACATAACGATGGATCTTAACAAAGCCACTCCAAGATCAAGAACACTCAGTATATTTGTGAAAAACACAAAGTACCAATTTTTTTTCAAACTCATAAAGGGCTATTCAGAAGCTAATGTCTATTGGTAGCATCTGAGTTGATATGAGTTGGCTAGTGGCCCTTGACGTATTCAACTCTTGCATAGGTTTTTTGGTCTTAAAATCATATGTAGTCTCTATTTTAGATTGGAATTTATCTTTAGGATAGGTGTATGGATAAGATTTATCTATAGAACTTGTGGATGTTAATACAACACTCACCTCCTCTAGCCTTAGTAATTATTAATTATTGTTTTATATTTGGTCTCTCTTCATTGCTTACTTTGCTCTACTTTTAGTGGTGTAAAGACTATTTTTTTTAATCTTTGATGTGAAGGCTTTGTTGTTATTGATTGCTCCAATGTTGTAAATAGAGCCTTCTTCCATAAAAGTAGGTTGTTCAAGGGTCCATTGTACAAGGGCCAATAGAATTGTATGGTGTTTTCAAAGGCTTGTAGTGTTTCAACTTGTGTATCTTCTTTTTGCACCAAGTAGATGCAAATATTTGTATAGCTAATCTCATTTGAAAGTACATAAGCCTTTTCAATTGTGTGTATCCAATAAGAACATATCTTATTGCATAATACATGACATAATAATTGCACCTTGATTGAGGGATCATAGATTATATTCTAAGATTTAGTCTAAATTAGGATTTCAAAACTAACATGACATTTCACAAATTATATTCTCAATCTCATTTTCAAGAATATATGTATCTTTTTGGATGTGTGGATGCAAAAAACAATCAATTACAATGTGTATTCTTTGTATTTCAAAACATCTTTTATTTATAAAAGCCCTATAATTGTGCTTGTAAGATATATTATTATATAGTGTCATTTCCTATTTGGAAATATAATAAGTACCTAGCTATAGAAAATTTAGCTTTAATTTATTGGCCAAGCTCTAATAAGTGATTTATTCTTATTATAAAAGATAAATAAATGTATCAATATAGAAAGATATTTTAATAGTAAAAACCTTTTATATTTAAGAAGATTTATACATAAGGCTTTCTAAATCATTGAAAAATATCCCAACATCCTTTGCTATATCAAATCATAACTAACTATTTGCCAATAAGTTAGATTTCTTATAAGTTCAAAGAAAATCCATAATCTTCTTACAAAAATCTATCTTTATATTATAATTTTTTTATAACTCTATATCTCTATCTTTAACATATATATAAAGTCTTCGCTTCCAAAAATCTCTTTATATTGAATAAAATTTCTAAATTGTAGCAAAATTATTTCAACATATATATATATATATATATATATATATATATTTTTACAAAAGTTTTTTTCTCCTTGAACTTTAGAATATCATATCTCTTGATCTAATTTTTCAATTTATCTCAAAATTTTCGATAATTTAGCATTTATTCTTAAGCTTTACTAAAAACTTTTTGATCATAAATCAACTACAAATTATTTGGCATCTTAGAAATCCTAATAGATCCTCTAAACCCAAATTTATAAGCATCCAAATACTATTTTCTTCATATCTCAAAAATCAAAAGTTAAAATGTCACAAAAAAATTTATATATATTTATAACATTGTAATACACATTTATGGAAATTTTAGCCAAAGATTCATCCAAATACCCAAGATATAGCTAGAATCAAACTCCTCATGAAATTGGTTCATTGACAAACCTCAATTTAGAAGCATTGTCTTCAAACAATTATTACTCCTCTAAATCAACTCCAAATCATTTTTTTTTGTATGAAAAATATAGGCCTTTAAACCAACTTTCCAATTTCATAATTTAATCTTCAAAAACCTTTCATATACAAGCGCTATGCCCCAAAGAGTGACAGTAGGTACAAAATCAACATCTTAACTTTGAAGGCCTATATCTTCTTGACAAAGACTTCAAATCACATGAAATTTTTACTAAAAACATATCTAAAATCTTTAACTTAACGATTCTAATCTTAGATGTAGTAATGGCCTCAAAAAAGTAACCCTAATTCCTAATAAGGCCTCAAGCAGCCTCAGTGAAGCCCATTGGGCATGACTTTTGGCTAATAAGAATAGAGATTTTCATCATTCATCTCCATTCATCCATATGATTGGCTTAACTATCCCTTTTTATACAGAAATCCTTCTCTAATTATTTTTTTAATAAGTTTTATATAATATGTGCCTTAATCATTAAAAAAAAAAAAAAAAAAAAAAGATTTCAAGAGTCACCAATATCTAATAAAGGTGGCTATAAATATATGAAACTATTATTAATATAAAATCAATCTCAATAATAGTCCTTTAAAACTAACTACTTCAAAGTAATAATCTAATTATATTTTATAACCAATTAAAATCTAATTACATGGCTTTTACTACATTATATTATAAATTATATATTAAAAATATATGTGCATTATTTTCACATGGTAGTCAAATCACAACACAACAATATAGATAGCAATGGTAGCAGAATCAAGTAGAATTATTATGTATAAATAAAGTATGTTGATGCATTAAGCAATACAATCTACTACTTTTTTCAACATCTCACAAATTATGATTCTTAATTTTTTATTTGTACATAGAATCAAGGTTCCTTATAGCTATAAAAAAAATTTAATATGACTCATACAACTTCAAAAAATAATGTAAAATTATTTATATAATTAAGATGACATTATCTTATCATAAGGAATAATTTCAAATTTTTCTTAAAAGTTGTGGTATTCAAGTTAATTTATTTTTAGATATAAAGATCACACTTATATCAAATGTTTTTATTATTGATATATTGAAGGTATCACTTGACTTATACTATATAATTAGTAAGTCCTATGAAGAAACTATGAACTTATCTAAACTCCAATCAAATTTTTATACCAATAATGAATTATTTGTCACACCCTCATTATTTCTTAGACCAATTCTTGTAGAAAAATAAAAAAAAATGAAATACAAATATCCTACTATATCAATAAGAAAATAATCAAGAAATCAAGGCAAATTCCAATATTTCAAATATTATAGATTTCTCTTGGAAATGAAACTCCAATCCAAAGATTTTTAAGATGCTTATTAAGTCTATAAATAGCACATTATAATACAAAGTAATAAATGAATCTTGCTATATCACTGTATACTTATTCTACAAAGTTGAAGCAGTTCATATAAATTAGATTCTTCATTTATTTTGACATTATTTACTTTTTCAACTTTGTATTTGATAAAGAATGCAACAAATTATTATGACATTGGCTATTTCAAATCTAGAAACTACTTTGCGGCCAAACTCATATACAACCTCTAGAACACGTTGAATCATTAGCCAAAATATTAAGAAGAAGATAATCAAAATTTTGACCAATGATAAGCACTTAATATCCAAAAATTAAAACACATCACTTTTAAAGAGAGAAAATACTCATTATTGAAAAAGTGGTGATAATAAGAAGAAGAGTGCTAGAGTACATTGCCACCAATGATGAAGTTGTGAACTAGACTACTAAATTCACAGATCACAAGCTACATAGGATTTTAATTAAAAAAATTATTCTCTCAAAATCATCTTTTTATTATGGAATATATATTATAATTGTGTATGTAAGATAAAAAAATAGTAGCAAAATCAAATGAAACTATTTTATATAAACAATGAATGTTGATGCATTAAACAAAAAAAGTTAATACTTTATTCAATGTATTGTGATTAACTTTCTAAACTTATTTTTTCTATATTTTATTTATAAATATATATAAATTTTTAGTAGTATAATTAAATTATATTTATAATTTTAATATCAATTAGGAATTAAAAAAAAATATGACATATCAAAATTTATATTCTTAATTTTATTTTCAAAAAATTTTAAATACTTTTTGATATATGGATGCAATAGAAAGTTTTAAAAAATATAAATTTAGTATATGACTAGATTTTTGTATCATACTTTTATCATCCCATTTTGTTTGAGCAAAAAACCTTGATAAAAAGATATTCTTCAATCACAAAACTATCAATGCTCTAATTGCAAATTAATGTCTATTATATCAATAGCAACTTCTTGAATCTAATGTCAATAAACTACTATTCATCAAGATTGAAAGTAAAATC